GAGGTGCGGTGAGAGTGCAGGGTGTCTGCCAAGCTCACTCTCACTTCCCCTGCTACCCTCCCCTGGGACGCCAGGGCTCGTGTGTGCACCAGGGAAGCCCCCACACTCAGGTGCCAGGTGCCCGCAAGGAGCCCGCCCTGCACCCATGCGGCCTCTTCCAGGTGAGCTGGGCGCAGCTGCCAGGACCGCAGGGGCTGGTGGGCTCCCCGTGGGTTCACGCTGGAGCCAGTCTGTTAGGCCAGCCTGGAAAGAGCATGCTGCCTGCCCGCCTTCATGCGGTGCCACTGGGCAGCCCGAGGCCCATGCTGCGCCGACCCGTGGCTTCTGCTGCGCTGACCGCATCTCTGCGTGGAGACTCGGGAGCCGCCCGAGAGGTGCACATGGGGGACCCGGCGGCCCAGGTGCTGCCCAGGACCTGCAAGGACCTGCCCTTCCACACCAGATCACTAGCCAGGCCTAGGGCCCGCACCTGTGCACAAATATCATGCACTGGGCCTCTAGCATTTACATATTAACTATTTCTGTGTTCGCCAAGGAGGGCTCTGCTATTAAGAATGTATACATGTGGCTCAAGTTTTATACAACCTGCAAATCATCTGCATTAAATTAAAATGGACTAAAAAGTGCAGACAAAAAGGAGCTTGGGTAAAAATAAGAAACAAGTAAAGATCTAAAGTAGACAAGAGACGTACTTTAAATCAGCGATTGCCAACCGGTGGTCCGTGAGGTCCAAAAGGTTGGCAACCACTGCTTTAAATTAAATGAAAAAGCAATATTCATAATTAGAATCTGAAAGAAGATATATCACACAGACAAGCATGTGAAAGCTAGGGTAGTTGAATTAATGTCAGACAAAACTGGATTCAAGACAGAGAGTAGCAGAGACCGGTCTGACTCAATGGATAGAGTGTCGGCTTGGGGACTGAAGGGTCCCAGGTACGATTCCGGTCAAGGGCATGTGCCTTGGTTGTGGGCATATCCCCAGTAGGGGGTGTGCAAGAGGCAGCTGATCGATGACTCTCTCTCATTGATGTTTCTAATTCTCCATCTCTCTTCCTTCCTCTCTGTACAAAATCAATAAAATATATTAAAAAAAAAAAAAAGACAGAGAGTATTACTGGACACAAAGAGAATCACACTAAAAAGGTAAAAGGGAGAATACACAGAGAAAGATACACTATAAATGTTCAAATGTGCCTAATGGTACAAGGGTCCGATATATGAAGCAAAAACTAACAGAACTAAAAAGGAAAAATAACCAAATCCACAATGGTAGCTGAAGACTTTAATGCCTCTCTCTCAGTAACTGGCATTACACCGAGATAAAAGAATTAGTAGGGCACAAAATATTTAAATAATAATATCAACTGTTTTAAACAAACACAATTATAGAACAGTATACCTAATAACGGCAGAATGTACATCCATTACCAGTGCACATGGGACATTCACCAAGATAAATGACATGCTGAGCCAAGAAACACTCGTCAAGAGATTTCAAAAGATTGAAATCTTACTGGGTACTTTTCGACCACAACTGAACTAAATCAGAAATCAATAACATGGAAAGAGAGAGAGAAGGGAAGGGAGGAGAAAGAAAAAGGGGATAGAAACATCTATTTCTGGTAATTAAGCAACTTAATTCTAAACAAGCAATAGGTAAAAGAAGAAATCACAAAAAATTTTTCATATTTTAACAGAATAAAAATGAAGAACAACAAATCAAAATTTGTGATAAATCAGTTATCTAAGATCCTACTTTAGAAAGCTAGGTGAAAGTGTTTAAAATACCTACCCACCCACCCACAGAACAGAAATACTAATAAGACTAGAGATCAATGGGATAGAAAACAGACAGAGAAAAATCAATGAAACCAAATGGTAGCTATCTGACAAGATCAATAATGTTGATAAACCTCTATTTAGATTAAGAGGAAACAAATTAGCAATATCAGGAATGAAAAAAGGTAAAAATTATAGATCCTACAGACATTAAAAATAAAATATAGGAATAAATTCAAATTTTTAGCAATTTGATAATTCAGATAAAATGGACAAAACATTTAAAAGACACAGATCAACATATTACCCAACTGGCACATGAATAAATGTACAATCTAAATAGGCTTACATGTATTTGTAATTCTAAACTTCCCATAAAAAAAATATTCCCAGATGGTTTCACTGTGAAACAATCAAACATTTAAGAAAGGAAAAACATCAATCCCTCACAAACTTAAGAAAAAAGAGGTAGAAATACTTCCCAACTAATTTTTTGAAGTTAGTTATTCTGATGTTAAAACTAGACAAAGATACTACAAAGAAAGACTACAGCTCAATAAACACAAAGGTAAGTTTTTAACAAAATATTAGCAAATCGAACCCAATAGTTCATTAACCACCAAGCAGGATTTATCCTAGGAATGCATAGTGTGTTTACCATTTGAAATGAATAGATATAGTTCACCAAATTAACAAAATAAAGTATAACAAGAAAAAATAGCACCTGACAAAAATTCAACACCCAGTGACGGTAAAAACCACAATAAACGTAGATATAAAAGGGAACATTCTCAATGTGATTTAAAAACAACAAAAAAGAAAAAACCCTACCCTGCACTCAACAGTGAATGACATTGTTCTCTCCCTAAGACCAAAAAGAAGGCAAAGATGTGTCTACTCTTACATTTCTACTGGAAGTCCAAGCAGGGAAAGTCCAGCACACAGAAGAAAGAGCAGAGGCATGAGGCGTGTACAGAAACCCTAAGGAACCAACCAGGCCTCAGGAGGGGTGTGGGAAACACTTTGTATCTTTCCTTGGTGTAAACCTCTGAAAAAACTCATCAAATGGCATGCTTTCGGAGCAGTTGGTATACATAAATTGTACCCCAGAAAGTTTTTTTTAAAATGACACACTAAAAGTCTCCCATGTGACTAAAACAAAACAGCAACAAAAATCCCAAACACCTGGGAGTCAAAATAAATAATCCGGAGGAGCTTATATTTAAAAACAGGTCCATATAATTATATTTGTCATAAAGAACTGACAGTTCAAAAATCTTTAATCCGCGCCTGCATTTAAAAACCAGAGTATTGTATTTAAATGCACTCATATTCAAACATCATACAGGGTGCTGCACACCCTGGTGTGGCCATGCTGCAATTGCCACCTTTTTTGAATTTCTATGTTGTCTTGGGGAATAGGAAATAGACATGGGTTTATTCTAAATTGATAAATGCCTAACCATGTTTTGATTCTACACTACACTCTGAGAAAATAATAAATACTTCTCCCGTGACAATGTATCTTTTTAATTTATTACTTGACATAATTCAAAACTTCCATTACTCCAAGGAAGTCAAAATAAACATTAACTTCTCACAAGATTTTTCTATTCACTACTTTTCAATAAAGAAAGTACCTACAACTAAAACTCTCTAATACACCGATGAAGTACGCCTTGTCACAAAACGTGCCCAGAATGCTGTTCTCTGGTGGCTGACTGCATGTGTATTGCATAACTCAAGATACCTGAGCCATAGAGGGCGGAAGGTTCTTGACAAGAAGAATTTCAAAAGATGGGAAGGCAGTTTCACAGAAATAAAAACGCATAAGACCAGCCAAAACTGGTTTGGCTCAATGGATAGAGCGTCGGCTTGGGGACTGAAGGGTCCCGGGTTTGATTCCGGTCAAGGGCATGTACCTTGGTTGCGGGCATATTCCCAGTGGGGGGTGTGCAAGAGGCAGCTGATAGATGACTCTCATTGATGTTTCTAGCTCTCTATCTCTCTCCCTTCTTCTCTGTATAAAATCAATAAAATATATTTAAAACAAAACAAAACAAAAAACCTCATAAGACCAAACACCCTCTGGCAATTATTAAGAAAACTTCAGAAGAAACTTAATACAAATGACTAGGGGCAAAAATGGCTCAAATTATTTCTGTGTAAAAGAATGCTTTTCCATAAACTGTAGAGGGTTTGGAGTAGAAAGGGAATAAATCTGATAAATTCATGAAAGTGCCAAAAATACACTTAATTAAAAATGGTAACATCTTCATTATTCAAAATTCAACTGATCAGCATAATAATGAAAGTAGACTATTGTTTAATGTACTAAAAATCCATAAAAATTCATTACTACTTGTTAGATTTAATGACTTCACATTAGTGAGCACACAGAGAAGAATTATTCCAAGAAACTTTGAAGCACACGAAGCTTCCCGCACAGCTCGGCAGGGCACCACCTGCAGTCCAAAGGCGATGCCAGGAGGACTCTGGGCCGAAGGGCCGCGCTGCTGGCGGCGGCGGGTCCTGCCTGTGCGGTGTGCACAGGGCGAGGCTGAGACAAGCGAGTTGTCCCAGTGAGACCCCTGCCCCCACCTCAGTACCTGGGGGCTCCGGTGGTACATTCCACTGTAGGTTTTTTCACAGGTGGCTATTTTAAAACTAATTCTGTTTTAGAATCATGTGGAGTATTTACACGGTTCCAAAGTCAAACCTACACAAAACAAATGTGTCCGAAGAGGTCTAGTTTCTCCAGTGCTCCCTGCCCTTTGAATACAGGGACTCACACACAAAGCCCAGCGCTGCCCACAGAACAGCACGGCCCCAGAGTTCAAACCCAGAGTGTATACCATGGATCACGGCTTACTGGCTCTAAACCATTTCCTTGTGTCTGCAAGGGCAACACCAATACCTGAGAGGGGGTGTTGTGAGGAGGAAGCAAGACCCTCCGTGCCCAGCATTCAGTTTGGGAGCTCTCAGCCAAGACTGACCGCGAGCCCTCGGTCTCCTCTGCGCTCACCACAGCCCCGGGGCTCAGCTCATGAGCCTGGAGATGCCCTGTCGCTGGCCGAGGTCAGTGGAGTTCGATGGCCAAAGCCACAGCTCATCTTTCAATCCCAGCGCTCACTCCGCAGACCCCAGGCTCATCACAGCGCCCGCAGCCAGCACGGGAAAGCGCTTCCTTCCAACCGGGGCAACTTCAAAACACTCACTGTGTTCAGCGCATTGAGGGTGGTGTCATCCCGAGAGGCAGCGACACAGCCATCCTCTGTGGAGCCTCCGTCACACATGCCTGCGAACGCCGCCATGCTCCTGGGGAGACAGGAAGGGAACACGCCAGTGCAGGAATGTTCAGGTGCATTTCCAGCCCTGACCGAGTTCCATTATTACACGCACAGTAGGCCAGCGTTCTCAGTCCCATACAATTCACCTTCACTCACTCAGGAAGAAAACCTTCCTTTTACCCATGCCCAGCTGTTGTTCTCCCCATGCTTCGTCAGCACTCAGATTTTAATTTTCAGAGCATGAAAAATCTAAAACTATATGCCACAACAATTAGCTACATTACACTCTTTTGAAAGAAAAGTCCCCAGAAAACAAAATTAAATCCTCTGAAGCTTTACTTAATTCCTTCCATGCTACACATCAAGTACTTGTAGGTGAATTAAAAGTAAAAGAGAGAGAGAAGTCATTCCCTCGGCCACAGCATCCTCATCTCCGCTGTAGCCCCCGCACAGCACCGCGACCACCAAGCAGTGGGGCTGAGGTGCGGCTGCCGGCCTTGTCAGCACTGCTGTTGCACGGGCGATGCCGCAGTGAACGGGCGATGGCCGCAGTGAACGGGCGATGCTGCAGTGAACGCACGAAATGGCTGCAGATAAAGGCAGGCTCTCTGCCTGCACTGCAGGGTCAGGGACAGATTAAACTTCTCTTCTGCAAGGTCTTATATAGGTAAGCCACGAAAAACGCGGATGTAGGCCTGGCACCAAAGAACAGACATGGAATGTATTGTAAGGAGGAGTGCTGACAACAGCATGTATGGCTTTAGATGTTTTCCTTCTAAAGAGTTCCAAACTCCGCTGTGGGACAAAGGGGAAGAAAAAAAAAGACTTTATCAAGGTAAAACGGGGTCTGATTACAGAGGGTGTAAAAACTGAAGTCAGAGGATGCCCAGTATATAAATGAAGTGTCGGGGACCGGAGAAAGTTTATCGCCTATTAATCAGTTCAGACTGCCTGATCCAGAAAGCGGATGGGCGAATTCTTCTTACCTTGCTGCCCTCAAGTACATGAGGAGGTCACAGTCATTGACCCCAGGCATCCAGACCAGCTCCTCCTGCTGGGTCACAGTGTCACCATCTGGAGAAGGGAATGGCTGCAAATCGGGCAGCTTGGCCTGTAAGACAGGGACGGAGGAGTCACAACCAGGCCCGTCAAAGGGCTGCTGCCGGCAGGCCCGGCCCAGCTGCACAGCTCGCCGATCTCCAGGCCAAACCCTGCGTCCCGGAAGCCGCCTGAGCACATCTCAGGACCATTTCACACAGAGCATTTCACAATGGATTGCTTCATCTCTACTTTCTAAGCAGCAAACTGCCAAAGTTAAACCAGGGCAAGACCCAAAGACTGAAACAGAAATGGTCATGTGTGGGTAAAAAATAAATAAAACAACAAATGTCTCAGGAGCTTACAGTGCCGCCTTGATAAAGAAAGAAAAAACACACGCATTTCCAAGATAACAAGTTTACAAGAGACATCTACAAATAATGCAATCTCACCTAGGATATTTGCTCAAAAATCAAATGAGCTATCCTATTAAATTATGCTCTTCTCAGAGAGTCCATATGAGCCATGTAAACACAAAGAGACACAGAACTGGAGTCACCATTAAAAGCAGAGCTGTGCTAACGAAGGCGCAGAAATCAGATGAGCAGTGGCTTTAGGACAGGGCAGCTGGGGAAGGGGCAGGAAGGAACTTTCTGAGATGACAGAAATGTCTGCCTTGAAACGAACTATCACAGCAGATTGAACAGAAGACATTAATATACAAACAGTTCACTGTACGTAAGCACAATAAAAGATTTTTATAAATATCTGAACATCAGTGCTCAACAAAGATTCTAAGTCAGCTCTATTGTAGAGACTCAAACATCTCGAGCATTTTCTCATCCGCACTCTGCTGAGGCAAAATAAACAGCTACTACTGCACCCATCAAAGATCTATGAAAAGCCAACCATATGTAAGACACAACATGTTCTTATTTTCTTAAACTTTGAACATGGACACATTAGTCTAATATTTTTAACTAAGAGCTGCCGTTTTGAAGCTCCAGTTCCACAGAACCTAGGCAAAAAATGTAAATGAAGTAAGCAGGCTTAGAATAAGGCAATACTGTCCAATAGAAATAAAATGAGAGCCACATAATTCAGTTCAAATATTCTAGCATCCACATTAAATAAACCACATTGCAATGTGGACTGGCTACACTGCAAGTGCTCAAAGCCACCTGTGGCAGTGGCAGTGGCGTGGCAGTGGCTGTGACAGTGCAGTACAGTGGCAGTGGCTCTGGACTGGGCGTACCAGTATGGGTGGGGGGACCAGGGTGATATGGAGAGCTGCCCCATCCTGGGAAGGCTGCCCTTCAGGAACAAGAATCAGCATTTGTGCGTTGTCCAATTTTTTCCAAAGTCCAAAAATCCTGACTATCATGGGAAATGGTGGTTGTTTAAGTTTTTAGAACAACTGTTTGCCAAAACACACGAGTAGGCCGTGCAGCTGCCAGGCCGCCAGGCTGCAGCCTCTGCTTCTCAGGCTTTGACATCTCTCCATGTGTCCGAGCACCCCTTTCTGCAGACAAGGGTGCTCTTCTTTAATCTAGTAGCAACTTTCACAACACTTAATTGGGTACCATAATTAGTGCTGCTTAATGTACAGTGAAGTATTGAAATAAAATTAAAGCACAATAGAAACTCATATCAAAAGATCTTTAACATTTGTACTGAGCTCTGCTTCCCCATACAGGTACAGTATCCAGTGGAGTAGCTCTCCAATGGCTGTTTGTTAAATTCATTAGAAGGACTGCCTTTGTGGGAGAGGACAGAGAAAAATGGGCTGGAAAATATGATTAGTTTAAGAAAAGGAAGTGCATGTGGCCCTTAATGGTAGGGAAAAAACGGTCTACCTTGCTGAGAAGAGAAATATAAGTTAATGACAGTGAGATACAATTTTTCATCTATCAGGTTAACATAAATCTCAAAGTGGACAATATACAAGGCTCTGCTAATATGAATGCAAAATAGTACAATCTCTATGGAGGGAAATTTTGCAATATTCTAAGAATTAGATATGCGCTTGCCCACTAAGCCAACCAGCCCCCTTGTAGGGATATAAACCAAAGACATGCTGGCAAAAAAAGATAAAGATTTATCTGTACAGGCTATTTGTTGCAGCCTTACTTGTAACCGCAAATGACTGGAAACAGCCCAAGTCCCCACTGACAGGGACTGGAGAGGGAATGTTGGCCTACTCAGGGATCCAGGAAGGGAAAGGGGACTGAGGGGCACTCTGCTGCTTCCGTGGAGGGTAAGAGGAAGGTACACATGGGTATACTAAGCTACCATTTTTCTAAGAACAGAAGATGGAGGAATATAAGTAAGAAGAAATCATAACTTTAAATTAAAAAACAATTATCCATCAGGAAGGGAGGGAACATGGGGAGGAGACAGGGATAGAAGACAGACTTTTGAACATACTTCATTTATATGCTTGAGTTTGGAGTCATGTAAATACTTTACTAATTATAAAAACAAAATTAAGTTTAAAAACAATAATCCCTTAAAAACTTTAAAGCAAAATGAAACAAATGCACCTAACTATGCATTGAGTTGGTTCCTCTTCAAGAACTATTTTAAGTAATTTTAAAACATATTATTTTGCCTATACAGCCCTAGTGGGGCATATTTTAAGGCCAAAAAATTAACAATAAGGTGATGGTTCGGTCATATTATTTTTGTCAGTGTGACTACTGTTGTTCTGAGCTGTCATATACGTATTATGAGATTAAAGCAAATATTTTTGTTGATGTCATTAAAAATAAGATTTGAGACATGAGAAAAAGATATAGATTTGGATGAAAGAAAAATAAAATTAATAAAAGGTCTATATAAGAACTTGAACTTGAATTAGAAGTATCAGAAAGAAGCCACGGTATATTTTATCTTTAAAAGAAGAAGAAAATGGCTGGCCAGTGTGGCTCAGTGGTTGAGCATCGACCTATGAACCAGGAGATCACGATTCCCAGTTAGGGCATATGCCTGGGTTACTGACTCAATTTCTATCTAGTATGGGACATGCAGAAGCAGCTAATCAATGATTGTTTCTCGTCATTGATGTTTCTATCTCTCTCTCCCTCTCCCTTCCCCTCTGACATCAATAAAGAAAAATATTTTTAAAAAGAAGAAAATGAAAGCAAAAGCATTTTCCTAACCCGTTCCCTAAAAAGGCCTGGAAACAGTAGCCAGCCCAATAACAAAGAACGCAGCCAGTGGAAAAGTCACTTTCCGCTGAAAGAACGAGGCTCCTGTGAGGAACGTGTGATTGCAGATCAGGGCAGAGAACAGACAAGATGAGACATCACCATCGTGTCAGACCAGATAAAGGAAACTGTCCAAAGTCCACTGGGGCCGAGTCAAAGGGACACAAAAGGCAACAGGGAGAGGCTTACGTCTGTCCCCAAATAAATCATTTGATCATCAATAAGAATAACTATAACTGGTTAGCAGATAGTAAACGATCTTAAATCTCCTGGTCGCCGCTGGAAGATGATGGGGACAACCTCACAGTATGAAAGCGTAAGCAGGAGGGAGAGAGCATTAATCATGCCTTTCCTGTGTGAGCCAGGGAATCGATAGTTAAGGGGGAAGCTTTATGCAGTCAGCTAATGAACCAAAGGAGTTCTGAGATCCCTCAGTAAGCAGTGGGTCGAGGCAACAGGTAAAGGACACAAATCATCATGAAAAGACATAAGCGCCTCCTGGGAGATCCCAGAGTACCCCCTGAACTATTCCTGCCAGGCGAGGGTGCCAGGCTGGAATGTGATCAAACCTCTCGACTTAACTACTGATTTTCAAGATATGCTGAGGACAAGGAACCAAGTTTAATGACACACAAAGATTCAACCAGCTAAATCCAGACCACGGGACCCTACAGAGTAAACTCTCCACTGCTTCAACACATGCATCGAGAGGGGAGAAAGGAACATGAGAAACATCAATTAAAAGAGATTTATGAGGCATATCAAGCAGCTGCAACGCACAACCCTTATTTAGATTCCAATTTGAACCGTAATCCAAAAAGAAAAAGAAAGCGGCAATTACGGAAATAGAGGACACTTGAATATTAAGAAATCGCTCATTATTTTGGCCCGGCCGGCGTGGCTCAGTGGTTGAGTGTCATCTATGAACCAGGAGGTCATGGTTGGATTCCCGTTCAGGGCGCATGCCAGGGTTGAGGGCCCCATCCCCAATGCGGGGCGTGCAGGAGGCAGCCAATCAATGATTCTCTCTCATCACTGATGTTTCTCTCTATCTCTCCATTTCCCTTCCTCTTGGAAATTATATATATAAATTGCTCATTTTTACTAGGTGTGACACATTGTGATTGTTTTGGGGTGTTTTTGTTTTTTTGGAAGAGCTCTTTGGGATATTTACAAGTGAAGGATACAGTTCTGGTTCATTTCAAAATAATGGTAGGAGAGGTGTGAAAGCATAAATTAAATAAATTTTACTATACTGTGTGAAAGCTTGGTAATATGGATTAAGGAGGTTTATTGTACTAATTGTTCCCTATTTTTGCATGTGTTAATAGTTTATCTAATAAAAAAGTTAAAAATTTTAAGAAGGCAAATGTTGCCAATTCATAAAAAGGTCCTCTAATATTTGATGCTTTGAAACATTTCTTTTTGAAAATAAATCATACAGAATATATTTAAAATCTGATATAATATCTGATTTTAAATTAAAGCATACAAAAATCCAAGGATAGTAAATATGTTTATTTCCAAGAATGTAAGCATCTCTAAATTAAAACCCCTTTTTCTGCTATGGTAGAGAGATAAAAATCTGTAAAATAAAACTCTCATAGAATGATCTCAAGATACTGGAAACACATAGAGGGTGAGAAAAGCAGGTGTGAAATACGGCGGGAAGAGGGAGCAGCGCGGGAGATGTAACGAGTGTACTAGGCGAGGCCAGAACCCTTGGTTACAATGAAGTCCCAGGCCCGAAGGCACAGGAAACCCAGTGGAGAGATGGCAGTCAGCTCTACTAAAGAGACACACCACGGAAAGGGTGTACAGCAGGGTCCTTTCGTTCAAGGTCATCTCACTGTAACATGGATGAGATGCCATAGGAACTTACCTCTGGTGCGGCTCCACAGCCTGTGGGAAAGCTGACTTCACTATGTGTCTTTCCACGTGGCCGCAGAGCCTGTCAGCACCGCTAAGTGAGGACTCACTGGGCCTGAACCCGGCAGACTTCAAGGAAGCTTCTTCCGACCTGTCTCAGTTATAACCTAGCTCTGGGATGAGAAGTTTCTTCCAGTAATTAGGGGCCCCTATTGTTTCTGTGTTTTGGTTTTAATATTTCTTTACTTTTTTTTTTATTATAATATATTTTTATTGATTTTTTACAGAGAGGAAGGGAGGGAGAGAGAGAGTTAGAAACGTCGATGAGAGAGAAACATCGACCAGCTGCCTCTTGCACACCCCCTACTGGGGATGTGCCCACAACCAATGTACATGCCCCTGACCAGAATCGAACCTGGGATCTTTCAGTCCGCAGACCAACGCTCTACCACTGAGCCAAACCGGCTTCGGCATATTTCTTTACTTCTTATTCTTTCTCATTATAGAGTTGAAATAGGTTTTTAAAAAATATGAATGACATATAGGAAATACTCCAAACCAGACAGAAAAATGAGTGACAAGACAGATTACTAAAGCCTCTACATCCTTACCTGGAGTTGCCTGAGTGTCTTGTCTCTAGCATGTGTGGGCCATAGGGACTAACTCCCCAACATCTATTCCAACTGAAATGACAATCATGCTACACCTGTTTCCCTCACGGTTTAGAAGTGGACACGGGATCCAGTCCACGCCAATGAGATGTGGACACAGGATCCAGTCCACGCCAATGAGATGTGGACACGGGATCCAGTCCACGCCAATGAGATGTGAGGACTAAGGGAGGCCTGGGAGGGTTTCCTTTGCTTCTAAGAGGAAGAGAAGGATGATCGCTTTCCTCCTCTCAACATTGGCTGCATTTCATTCATTGAGATCCACTAGTGTTTATGTGCATTTAGCAAGGAGAAATGCTGCCCATTCAATTATAATTACACCACAGAATGTACAATGAAGTCCGTCAGAGACAATACGATGAGAAGGAAAGAAGAGCATCCTAAGATCAATGAAATTCAATCCCCCAGCTGAGGAGGAGCCCAGCACAGCCACCAGGAAGCAGGGCCTGGTCCTGTCTGCCCAGGGGGTGATGGTATGTGGGACCATAAAGAGTCCAGGTCGGCCAGAGTTTTCTGCTCCTGCCCATCAAAACATCCTAACTGATAGAGAGATCAAGGAAAGAGTCCTAGTGAGAGGAACAAAACATGAGAGGGTAGAGGTCACAGCATGACAAGCTTCTGAATGACAAGTATCCCAACCATCTGGACTCTTCGAAGGAAAGAGAGCTTTTAGAAAGTTAAAATCAAAGTACATGTTAACTAAATGTTTATGGAGCGACCGGTGAATGAATAACAAAATACGATCTATACATACAATTCAGTCTCAGACAGAATTCCGATACATGCTACAACATGGCTAGACACCGAAGACGTGCTGCCCAGTAAAACGAGCCAGACACAAATGACAGATGCTGTGTGGTCCCACTGAGATGAGGTCAGGACAGAAGTAGAACTGTGGTGCCAGGGCTGAGGACAGACAGGAGGATGGGGAGTTAGTGTTTAGTGGGGGCAGTTTCAGTTTGGGAAAATGAACATTTTCTGCAAGTCAAATGTGGTAATGATTGCACAACATGAATGTACTTAAAGCCACTAAATTGTACACTTAAAAATGTTAGAATGATAAATTTCACATTATGTATATTTTATCATAATTAAAAAATAGAAGTATGAGGTAATGGGGGGGGGGGCTCTGCATTTATATAAAAATTCCTGTAGAGATAACGACAGTTCGAAGTTGTTGCTCAATAGAATAAAAGGGCCAACAGAGTAACAAGAAATAAGGAACCGTTAAAGCAGCTCTGAAATGCGCTTTACCTGATGGCTGGGACCCACGCGAATCTCCCCCTGGGTGCTGTTCAGCCGCCTGTCAGGAAGAGAGGACGTTTGGTTAACAAATGGAGTTTTGACATAAATGTTCACATATTTTTCAAGGAAAGTAATTCACTCAAGTAAATGAGGTACAACTCAGGAAGAACCACTATTTCTAACGCTGCCCTGAACTCCCCACCGCACACGCCTGAACCTTTTCTCCTAACAAGCCCATCACTGCCCTCCTGTCACTCCTCCACCGCCATCTTCCACGCCTCCCAGGGAGGCACAGGCCTCCTGTGTGACCCCAACGGATGCTTCTCTTTTCCAAACATTCAGGATGTCCTACAGTACACCTTACTGAAATATAAACAAGATAACGGATGGTTCCTAGCGCACACACTGGATCATTCACTCATTCATATATTCGACAAATATTTATTAAGTACCAACTATAAGCCAGAAATTGTCTTAGGTGTTAGGGATAAAGCAATGAACAGAACAATGTCCTCGCCTTCTTGGAACTTACATTCTAATTCAGGTTGAAACAAACAAACAAAAACAAATAAATTATAGGTCAGGTGATGATAAGGCCAAGGAATGAAATAAGATGGTAAATGAGGAAATATTTTTACAGTTATTTATACAGGACAGTCACAAAAGATCTTTTTTTTTTTTTTTTTAATATATTTTATTGCCAAAACAGGTTTGGCTCAGTGGATAGAGCCTGTGGCCTGCGGACTAGAAGGTCCCAGGTTCGATTCCGGTCAAGGGCATTTACCTTGGTTGCAGGCTAACTTTCTATCCCTCTCTATAAAAAATCAATAAAATATATTTTTTTAAAAAAAGAAAGATCTTCTTAAAAAAATAAAATAAAAAATAAATATGCGGGAGTCACAGTCTCTCTCTTTATCTTGGTTTCGCCACAAAAGGAGGTATACTTGGCATTCCGGTTAATTTCCATTTTCTTCACCATTTTTCTGAGGGAGGCACATACTGGGTCCCCATTGACCAACAATGTGACCTTCCCGGTGTGTTTAGCCGTGTCACCGCACACTAGATCTAACCCTTCTTACTGCACTTGCAAGGCCCACCCTCCCTTGCTCCTACCCAACCATCCAAGTTCCTTTTAAAAGTGCTGTTTCCAACCAGCCTTTCTGATGCCCTCCATTTCACTTCTCACCCGCCAGAGTGCGGGAGCCTTCCTCCCCCTCCTTTATGAACTATCCGCTGAATGTGCTTGTCCCAGGCCTTGCACAGGGCCCGCACTGGGTGCCCATGATTAAGAGCGCAGGCCCTGCCCCCCCGGAGCCGCAGGCCCCGCTGCTGTGACATGGGAGCCCTGCGTGAGCGGAGAGCACGCCAGACAGCAGAGCCCGGGAGCTCAGTCCATTCCCCGTGGGTCTGATGCGCTCACTGCTCTGTTTGAAGCTGGAAAAGTGAATGTAAAGCGCTTTTATTTCCTTCAGAGGCCTTGGGCCCAGCACTCCCCTCTTTAGTCCACAATTTTTCTCACCAAGAGCCTTATTTTGGCAAAGGCGGCCAGCAGATAGGACGAAGGAGAGACAAGTAACAAAAAGAAAAGATGTGTGTCCCGGTACTGGGAGGTAGCATTTGTCTGCGAGAACAAAACCTTTCAGGAGAAACAGAGTATAAAACTGATAAGGGGAGTGGCCAAAATTAGGCAGGCTCCAGGAAAAGTCCGAGAGACAGTTAAGTTCCATAAAGACTCTGCAGGAGGACAGGCACACCAGGACTGATTCCGGGAGGGGAGGAAGGGGGGGGTGTGTGTGCGGGCGCTGAACAGGCCACAGGCGAAAGGGAGGGATGTGGTGGGAAGAAAACGTGCATGAAGGGCCCGCTTTAAAATGTAAGCCCCAGCCGAAACCGGTTTGGCTCAGTGGATAGAACATCTGTGGACTGAAGGGTCCCGGGTTCGATTCCAGTCAAGGGCATGTACCTTGGTTGTGGGCACATCCCCAGTACAGTAGGGGGTGTACAAGAGGCAATTGGCCGATGTTTCTCTCTCATCGACGTTTCTAGCTCTCTATCTCTCTCCCTTCCTCTCTGTAAAAAATCAATAAAAATATATTTTAAAAAATGTAAGCCCCATCTGACATCTTAGTGTCTTCAGGAGGCGAATGGCATGTTGGGGAACAGAAGCTGGGAGACAGATTGTTCTAGCAGGTCTCTGCGGGAATCACAAGAAGCCTTGAGGGAAGGTATGCAGAAGAACCGAGAGGCCGGAAGGCGATTTTGATCACACACTGCTTTAAGAAAACAAGCAGCCAGCGTCACCGATTTCCCTCTGACTTGTCCCTTTGATTCGTAATCGGAATCGTAACCGGCTATGAGCAAAACTGGCTGCCAAAAGCTCTCCTTCCTTTCTGAATACTTGGCAAACGCTTGCTTGCCTACATGGAAGTTGAGCCAAAAGGTATCATCTCAGAAAGCATCAGCCGCGGCCCGCCTGGCGATCTGCACCCCAGCTCACCCTCAGGCTGTTCTAAACTGTCTCTGTCCGCCTCGCTCCTCACGTGGCCGCTATTGCGCCACATACACGGCTAAGGCCTTCGTGATTCTAAGACATACACTCCTGGGTCATTTCATTTTAATACCTCTTCTTATTTTTTGTGTTTTTCTTTTCTTTTAATAAACCAATATCATATTTAGCTTTTAAAAAAGTACCACAATAATAAAAACAAGCCCCCAAATACCTTATTGATTAGAATAACTTATATCTTGTTTATTTGTGTAAAAATGGAGGCTAACCGCTATTCACAATGCTAATAATGATACAAAGTGAGGCAAAAAAAGTGGTCTAAATTGAAAATGTTTTTTTCTCTTTTATGATTACGTCCATGAAGGTTACTGTAAGGTGAGTAGGTAAAAAGTAGAAAATAAAGCTAAAACAAAGAACCTTTTAAGAAACATTTAAAAATCGATTTTTACAACAAATGCATTTTTTTTAAATCCTCACCTGAGGGTATTTTTTCCCCACTGATTTCCAGAGAAAGTAGAAGGGAGGGAAAAGGGAGAAGGGGAGAGAGAAAACATTGACACGAGAGAGACACATCAACTGGTTGCCTCCTGTATGCGCCTCTTCCAGGGCTGGGGAACCTGCAACCAAGGTATGTGCTCTTGAATGGGAATCAAATCCGAGATCCTTCAATCTGCAGTCAACACTCTAACCACTGAGCCAAACCAGCCAGGGCAACAAAAGCATTTCTTCATCATATGCAACTTTCAAATATTAGGACTTCACACTAAGAAACGCAACAGTTATTATTGAGCAGGTTAGGATCCTAGGTAAGCAGAGATTGACATTAGCTACCATATCCAGGAACTCCCAAATATAGAATGGCAGAAATATTTCTTAGGTCCAAAATAAAAAGATAGCAACACAACCCATTAGAGAAAACAGGCTGCATCCGACAGAAAAATGGTCAGAATATGAACTAAGGAAGAAAGACAAGAAGTAGGCTTCATGGGAACTGCCAGTATCCAGCCGCACTGAGTCCACAGCACCGTCCCCACTGTCCCTTCTGTGACAGCATCCAAGCTCCCCATTCAGTCACCCCTCCTCCCCGCTGCCTCACTGCCCCCTGCTCCCCGGATGTTCCTTTTGTGGCTCACGCCGCTCTGTTAGAGGATGCCAGTCCGCTCTGTGGACATTTCCTACCTCCAGCCGCCTGGGACTGTCAGCTTCCAGAGTACAGGAACTGAGACTTAACCCATTTTTTAAGATCTCTCCCTCTAGCCCCCCGAGGCTAATACAGTCCCTGCCTGGCATTATTAAGCATTCAGGACAAATTACAAGTTCCTTGGCTGCATAAGTATCTCTGGACTACTAATAGGTAAAACTTGACAAAAACCACCAGGAATTATTATTTAAATGTAATATCGGCAGCTTGCAGAAAACACTCAGTAATCATATGCTCAGACTTTTTGGTCTCAGAACCCTTTACACTCCTCTTTTCTTTTTAACAGTACGAAATTTTTATATTTAGAATTAACCAGCTGGACTCAGTTTAGATGATCCCAATTTTGTTGCCAACATGCAAAGCATCAGTCAAACATGACCTTTGACAGGGAAGATACTGACCTAGGACATGACTACTCACTATAAACTGCTTTTTAATGAAAAGGCTTGAGTTTCAGACCATCCTTTGTGGCGACGTTAGGGATCCACCAGGCCTGATCACCGGTGACCTTGGCCATGTCAATGCCACAGAGCTCTTCACAGCCTGTCTGATCGGGAGCTTGCTGGCGTCACATCCAAATGAACACTGTACTGCCGTCTTCTGTCTTCGTCACGGCTGACTTGGGAAGGGAGAACTGGACGGTATGGTGGTCAAGCTTGTTTCTCCCGGGCGTGCTCTCCTGTCTGCGCTGCCGCCGGAGCCTCTTTGGTCTCCGGACGGTGGGTGCCTGCGGACCTTTCCTGTGGCTGCGGACGCCTGTCAGCACTGCTTTCTTTGCCTTCAAAGCCTTTGCTCTGGGTTTCACTTTGGGTGGGGCAGCTTCCTTATTCGATTAGTGCCATCTTCATAAAAAGCCCCTTTACACTGCCCAGCCAGTGTGGCTCAGTTGGCTGAGCATTGTCCCGTGCAACAAGAGGTCATAGGTTCAATTCCCAGTCAGGTGAGCACATGATAGGTTGTGGGCCCAATCCCCAGTAGGGAGCATGCAGGAGGCAGCCAATCCATGCTTCTCCCTCTCTCCTCCTCCCTTTCTCTCTACAATTAATTACTGAGCATCTCAGTAAGCAGTGTGGACGAAAGAGGGCCCGTGCTGACCTGACTCACTCAGGGGGTCCTTGCAAACTCAGAGACCTAAGTCACCAAAGGATGGTCTGAAACTCAAACCCTTAATTACAAAGCAGTTTGTGGTGGGTAGTCATGTCCTAGGCCAGTATCTTCCCTGACAAAGATCAGCTTCCATCTTTCCTGGGCCGCTAGTCTTTTTGCATCTAAGGTGACACACCTGTGGAATTTCAAATAACTTGTAACTTCCCTTTTTCTGGACCCCTCAGGGCACAACCAATGGTGCCAG